TTTTGTTTGTGCTCAATTTTAACCATGTTCGAAGAAAACCTCCCCCCCCCCCCCCCCAGCATCCTGTCGGCTTTCTCCTCTGCGTATTTCTTTGCGCAATGTCCTCAGCCTGTAACTATAAGCATGATCGTGCCATTCATCATTGCAAACAAAGGTAACTGTTCAAGAAATACTTTATTGCAAAGCAAATGTTATACATGACTTTTTTCAATGTCTGCACCAGACGTTCAGTCTGGCTTCGCATTTTGGCCAGCACTAGTCCAAATAGTCAGCGGGATCTGCAGAAAAAAATCAATTCCATAAGCATTAATAATAAAAACAGGTAATATGAGAAACTTACCATCATGTCGAACATCTGCGGCCTTTGACTGCAGCTTTTTCAGTTTCTCTCCAGCGTGGCGCAGCCATACTTTGATGATGGTCTCCTCCTCAGCTTTGTTTGCGCACTCAACATTTCATTTCACTGCTCCTAAAACATTGATTTGTGATGACAGTCACAGCAGAAAGCTAAGATGGTCTAGAAAAAAATCACAATTAATGTTCGTGTGAGGAAGATACCCTTGCTACCGAGTCTACTTTCGCACAGTTGAAAAGCTCGAAGCCCTCGTTTACGCGCCGGCGTCTTTCCCGTCGAAATTGCCGTTCATTGTTTTCCGCCATTTAGAAGAATTCATTTAAAAACACACTAACCTTTGTCTCCTGCCTTGCATTGCTGCCATAATCAATTTGGATGGAACAGCGCGGGTATACAGACTCGCAGCGCTGATTAACAACTCAGTGATATATAAATTCTTCTTCTTCAAATCGTCATCATCTTCTCCTTCGCCGTTAATGAGAACATTTTTAACTTTTTAACACAAGAAACCAAATAGCCAATAAACATTAAAAAGTAAATAATAAATAAATAAATGACAGCTAAAGGTAAATAAAACAAAGAAAATTAAAAAATAAAAATAAAGTTAAAAACTATTTTTAGAAAATAAATTACAATTAAAAAATTATAAGCAGTGAGAGAGTGCAGGCGAGCTGGTAATCAATCGACATCTTGTAAACCGAGATGGGAAACGATAAAAAAAACGGTCGATCCCCACTCCCCGCACCACGAGCCACATTTTTTGTTTTTGTTTACTGACGCACCAGACACGGCACAGTAGTTAGAAACGCATAGTATCGCGTTTTGTATGCTGGGCCTGTTGGAACACACCAGCACAAGGACATCAGCGTAGGCAAGAAGCTTGATTTTGCAGCTGTGAAGGCGAAAACCTTGAACTTTGTTATCGTCTATAATGTGTCTGCAGAGGGGCTCAAGGTAGAGATCAAAAAGAAGTGGTGACATGGGACAACCTTGTCTAACCGAGCGTTGTACTTGAATGAATTTCGTAAGAGTTCCGTTAACAATAAATTTCGTTGAGATTCCAGTATACGAAAGTTTGATTCCACGCATTACGTTTTCTCCTTGCATTTTTACGAGAACATCAAAAGGAAAGGAGTGTTGAACTCTGTCGAAGGCCTTAGCCAGATCAACATGTAGAATAGCCACTGCTTCTTGTGTTCGTTGGCATATCTCTATTATGGACCAGACGATGTGGATGTTCGTTTGTACATTCCCTCCTTTCATGGAACGCGTCTGATGGTCTTCAACCAAAAACGATATCACGCTTTGTAAACGCCCGGCGAGTACCCTTGCGGACATGAACGCTGCCCGTCGGCGTCCGTTTTCGCCTTCTTTCATCTGCTATTTCGCCCCCGTCTAAAAACTTCTACAAAGCTCTCAAGACTCGACCATCCAAGCGGCGTACTAGCGTTTCATCTCAAGCGTCTGCCAATGTGCGGTAAAAAGTGACCGTGAGGACAAAAAAAAAAAAAAAAAAAAAAAGCCACACAATAAATATGCTGTTATTTGAACTTTTATGTTCTTGTTATTTTTTTTATTTTTTTTGTGGCATCTGCGAGCAAGGCTAGAGAGCGTCATGACGCACAATTAGAACGTGACCTAAATTAATTCGCTTTGACAGGCCAGGTGCACTGCAAAACATGAGAGCTACATGCCTTTCGAAGCAAAATGACAGGAACATACCTGTACTAACATGATGCGAGCCGAACGCCCGATTGCTTCCAGCCAAATGGCTCGCAAATTCTTACCTCTGTAGGTATCTTCTCGTTATTAAAACCATAATCGCAACCATGACGGTTGCACAATTCGCAGAGCAGCGGGGCCGCTTCTGCGGGAACCAACATCTTTATTCAGCATCAACACGCGCAAAGAAAAAATGAAGCCAGATCGATCAAAATAGTCAATGTTGGACACTAGGTTTAGGCCAGCCCCGCTAGGAAAACAAGTATCCGCACACCGCTTCCCAAGGCACTAACTTGCGACAGTTGTTTGCTGCAAACTGTGTCGGTTGATGAGGTCTTCCTATCAACATATCTGTGAACTCAAAACGACCCGCACTCATAAAAATTGACAAGCTCAACGAGCTACGCTCCTTTAGCACTATGCAGACGCCGTGTTTCTTAACGTTTCATACCAAAGCGAGAGTATAGCAACCTCGGAATACATTTGAAAAGAATAACGATTTTATTTTCATTAATTTCTCCTCAAACTTATTAGAAATTTAGTCGATTAAAATGCTATTATGGCATGGAGATACATATTTACAACCAATCTTTAATGTGGGAAGTGATCCAAAAGCGCGTGTCTTGATTTGCGTGCCATTGCAGCGTTCTCAAGGCTGGCCGGTCCTTCGCCTTTCTTGATCTGGAGAATGTGCAGCGGAGCATCCGTGCCCTGCAGAAATCAACGTCAACCGCACTCCTGGTTGCCGAGAAACTCATCTACGAACAGGTCCTCGGAGCTGCATACCCATTATCTAATCAAACTATCACAATCACGACTCTCTCTCTCTGTCTGTCTGTCTGTCTGTCTGTGTGCGCGCGTGCGTGCGTGCGTGCGTGTGTGTGTGTGTGTGTGTGTGTGTGTGTGTGTGTGTGTGTGTGTGTGTGTGTGTGTGTGTGTGTGTGTGTGTGTGTGTGTGTGTTTAAGGGGACATGATTGCGAGACTTCTGTTCTTTGTTTTGTTTAGCATTAAACAGTTTTCATGGAAAGAGTGAAATCTTACGTCAGATACGTGCTATGCGTCTGGCGCTAATGAAATCCTCGGTAATGCCTTGTCTGTATATTTATACAGCCGGAAGTTAGCCAGCCCCAATGGGCGTCAGGTGCCTCAGCCGCATGTGGATGAGAAATTTAGAGGGTGCAGTATACAACCGGTAGCCTGGGTTCTTTAATGCTCATCACGCGGTAGTGATACACGATCGCACTCTCACCCAGACCGAAACAAGCAGCGTTGGGGGACTGAACCTCATAGGAGGTATTCACTGGACGCCATATTTGAGGTCACTGTTTAGAGCGCATGCTCAGAACGAGCTCACATCAATAGCCTGCTAAGACCGGCAACCTAGATGGTGCTAAATGCACGCTCCAAAAGGACTGCGGAAGCTTGCCGTCAGCACGCGCTCAGCAGCAGCGGACACGGATGTGGCCGCCAGTGAATACTACCTAATCGCGGTGAACAGAAGCATCGCCACGGACGCTTTATTCTCATTCTGGGTCGTGTATCACTACTGCGTGGTGCACGTTAAAGACCCCTGGCTAGCGGTTGTACTGCACTGGCTAAATTGCTCATCTACAGCGTGTGACTCGTCGCAACTTTAATGGCAGACCAACTACACGCTGTATAAATATCCCCACTACCCCAATTATTATTATTATCATTCTGGGTTGTGAAAGAATTCCACCAGGTGGCCATACCCAAACTTTTCGCCGCGAATCGGTGACGTGCGTGATCGAAAGCGTCGCTGTGGTTGGCCAACCACGATTGGCTGAGTGCTGACTGTAATGTCAGCGAAGTATTCTCATCGACGGAAATAAGAGTAATGTGAGAACTTCAATTTGGTGGTATTGACGGCGTTGGTTTCAGAGCGGAACGATTTCGAGAGTCCGCCGTGCTCATTACAGACACCGTCGAACGTGTTGTTCTCAAGCTAATGACGTCAGGAGAGGGAACCATGGGAGGGCGACACCGAAACATATCGCCGCCTCTGGGTTCTGCAGGGCGAGCTTTCGCTCCACGCGTACCCCATGCTGCGGTGCTTTTAAACACGCTCGGCCACCGATCCCCCCGCATTCTTCGGGAGTAGTAGCACGGTCGCTTCGATAAGGTGGGCAGAAATTCGAGACATTGAGAACGTTGTCTTGTGCACGTTTTTCAGCGCTTATCACGCAGGCGAAAAGTGCCTAGTCACTGCGCTGTGGACAGATGCTCCACGCCCGATATTCCTTAGAAAATAGCTACGGCGCGTGGGCGGAGCCCGTTCCACAGCCCTGCACACAAAGGTGACAGCGCGCAAAAAGGCGATTGTGAGAATGGTATATATAATAACAGTAATAATAACAGTAATCTGTATTCATTCGTAGAAAGATGAAACATACAAATTGAGTCTGTGTAAGCCGGAGAAGGCTTGTCGGGCAGTGGAAGCACATTCTTCACAACAAGTCCGCGACAGAGATCGACGAGTGACACTTAAATAAACGTTCGATTGGGGGTGGTCTAATGGTCTGTACAAAATAATATGTTGGGCGATAGAAAATATACGGTCCTGGGGTTTTAATTCGCGTTTATTAATACTGTATGACCATCGCCTATAATTTTCGGGCACATATAACAATGTCTGCAGTTTGAATAAAATAATTTTATCCGACTTCTTTTTTCCTCGGAACGGCAATTGTTTTAGAATCTTGTGGATAGTCATGTGTGTGTGTTCGTGTATGTGTGTGATCATGTGCTCTTGCATTTCAGAGCCCTCTTGCCGACAGCGGAGAGTGGGAACTCGTGGAGGACTTTTGGGACGGTTTTCAGCTTCTCGCGAACACACGTCGAAGCGAGACTTCCCGGGACGACGTTCAAGAGACGACGCCAGGGCCCCAGATTGCTTACGTCATGTGGACCTCCGGGTCGACGGGAGAGCCAAAGACGGTTAAGGTACCCCATGCCTGCATCGTCCCGAATGTGCTGCACTTGAGGTAACGTATTTCAGCTTATCGCTCAAATTTGTCTACAGTCTCTCAAAACCTGTGAGGCGGCTCAGGGGATTAACGTCGAAGTTCGGGCTGATTGGTATACAGGCATAATAAACGCGAAAACAGCGCGAAGATGAGGACAAAGTAAAAGGTAACTGACAGGACACAGCACTATGTCCTGTCGGTTACCTTTTATTTTTTCCTCGTCTTCGCACTGTTTTTTTTTCTTTTTTTTTTCTTTTCTTATGTCGGATCGCGAGAGTTTTGTACCACGTGACTCTCGTGTCTGACGTCACATCATGGCGGCGAAGTTAGCTGTGGAACGGTGCATGTTCAAATGCTTCACCCCTTGAGAAACGGACTTCCGCACTTGCGCATTGCACACAAGCCCCGTGGCCTAGCCTACGTGGAGCGAAAGTTCATCTGCTTGTTTTGCAGGGGTTCTGGTGACGTCAAAAGGTTGACGCCTCGAGGTCTACCCACTATCCTTCGATCAGAGCCAATCAGAGCTCGGCGTTCTGACGTCACCCCAAACCCCTGTAAAAGAAGCAGACAAGCTTGCGTTCCGCAAGGAACCGACGAGTTGGTATCGCAATGACATGAAAACTCTGGAAGATTCTCTTACATACCTCGTAGCTGTCTGGCTTGCAACCTTTCCGGTGTGCTGGCGTGGGAATGTTCAAAGCCAAAATCGAAATATAAACTCTATCACGCTCCCCCTCTCCCAAACTGTAAAGATGTCAATCTTACGGTCCATATCCATGTTGCTCAAGGAACCCAAAACTATATACCAGGGTCACCAGCGTAAAGCGCGGTCGCACAGCTAATACATCAAACAAAAGACGGCAGGGAATTTTAGGGAACAGTCTTTGCACATTCGATATGGTAAGATGGGCCCTGCGGTACAAACTGTGCGTGTGGGAGTCTTCTGTGGTAGCGCTTGCACAGTTCATACCGGAGGGCCCACCGTAACATACCGGATGTGCAGGAACAGTTCCCTAAAACTCTCTACTGTTTGAGGCGTGTTTCTTCCTTGTCTGACGGTCACAAAGAAACAGTCTGCAGACCGGTTGGGATTTGTTTTTCGGCGTTCTTATCCCCTAATGCCACCAGCTCATTGGCTGCCGGGCAATAATGGGATGCTGACAACTCAGCACGCCCAGTGTTGTCTTAAGGGGACACTGACAGGGTATTTACGCTCGTGAAGTCTTTATTTTAAAATTGATCAAAAATAGCCCAACTACTCGGAACACAGTTTGCGGCTCGAAATTCGGTTTCTTTCCGTCCGAAAACAGCCGGTCGAGAGTGGACCTTTTTTGCCAAGTGAGGTTCTGCGCATGCGTACAGCCCCTCTCCCTTCCCGCGGTCCCCATTTTCGCGGGGCGAAATTCGGGTCGACCAACGTGTTCAGCACCTACCTTTGCGCGTATTTCGTCTTTTCTTTTTTATGCCGTTCTTATTTGAGTGTGTGCTAGTATATGTTGCATGAAAGGCCACGATCATCATCAATACAACGGCACGATGCCAATGTATTCTGACGGGTCGGAGGCAAGTTGGGCTGCCCCTCATTTGTAGTTCGAAGACAACTCCGCAGACGGCGCTCGTTACCCGAAAGAGGTCCATTGGCCGGTTTCAGTCGCGCCGACTCACGTTTCCATGGTGACGGGGCGTTCAATTAAGCTTTGTGAACCAAATGTATTCAAAGTCGGAGGTCACCTAAGGCACACATTCTATATTAAAAATATGAAAGAATACGAACCCCATTTTTGTAGCTTCCAAAAAGCTGCAAATATGCACGCAAAAAAAATGTAGGACTGAGGGGCTGGTCGACGTTACGGCAGTGCACGACGGACCAACGTTGCGACGGACGTGGGGCCACTACTTCGGAACTGTCGTTCATGGTTCTTATCGGCAAATCTATCTTTAAGCGCAGACCATCGAGCGGAAGCGATATAACTGCAAAACAATTGTACGACAAACAGTGCACGCAATTTCGTCGTCTGCTTCACACGCCGGAGAAGCGAAGAAAGAAAAAGCGCGGTCGGGTATAGCCACGTGACTTCCGGCCATGAGCTTCCGTGCTCGTGTTTCTGTTTCGGTTTCGAGCAGTCGAGTTGTTTTTTGATTTATTAATAATATACGTGACTCTGTAGCACAATGGTGATTGGGTAGTCTCCTGTAACCATATTAAATCGTCTAACAAAAACACAAAAATAGTTTTTTGAGGGTGTCAGTGTTTTTTTTTTTTTTTTTTTGAAGATGTCGATGAATGTGCTGTCCAACATGCTGTTTACAAACAAATCCGCGCTTGTCCACACCATGGTGGGGGCACTGCGCATGCACAGAAACCAGTTTCGCATGAGGGGAAGCTTTTGCGCATGCGCCGCGTCGAAAGCAGCGCCACCACAGCGGCGCCACGTCACAGCTGCGAGTTGTTGTATAACTGATATCGTTGTTTGGTGCAGCACCAAATTGGGTTGGGTTACCTGACGCTTAAGTTTAGTAGATATGTAACTATAATTTGTGACTCACCCGAGTCTTGGGTGTTATTAAGGGTATCATGAGTATATTGTATACCCTGTTTCATAATTAGTATACAACCCTGTCAAAGCTATGGTTTCCTTTTGTGCGAGAATGCGTGCAAATGGTCTGCGAGATCAAACTCCATGCCTGTGCCAGCAGCTTCGACAGCGTTGTACACTGTGTACTGGTTTCAGGGCATATGTCTGTTTGTTTAAGGTTATATTTTGTCGTTTTTATAATGTTGTTTTTTGTCAATTTTCGAGCCAGGATATGTCGCTGTGCATGTAGGGTGCGCGAAAAACAACAGTTGTTCCTTTAGGCCTTGTAGCTTTTCCATTTGTGAAGCACCCACGAGCTGACTGTACAGCGCGACAGGTTATTCGCAGGTGGAAAACAAACTTTTTTTTTCGTTTTTTTCATTAACTGAAGAGCGTGTTGGTATTATTGACTGGCAACAGAAAGAATAAGCTAACTCGTACCGAGTTTGTTTTATTTTTCTGTTGCCAGTCAACGTTATCTAAGGCCCTGGATTTCCTTTATACGGGCATGAAGCAAACGCTGACATAGATTTTTTTAATAAAATAGTGTTTTTGAGAGTGACAGCTAGTAAGATATATGGCTAGAGGGACAATTCTTCATGTGTTTTTGCGAACAAAATATTATTCTGTTTTGTAGAAAAAAAAAAGTTTGATATGTTTGTGAAACGTTCCTCGGCGCGGCTATTTGCCAAGCTTGAAGTGAAGTAATCAGGCTCGAAACACGAATAAAAAGCCAATAAGAACTTATCATTGGCATGTTTATATGCCGGAAAGTCGACCTGCTTTGTCTGCCTCGATATTTGGTATCTCGTGTCCTCCCCTCTGAAAGGTAAGAAGTTGATTCCAAATTGAGTGGTACGATTGCCCTGAGAATATTGTATAGGAAAGCTCGAGGTTTCAGTCAGCGCCAGCTTTACAGGCTTTAGCCCTTTATCTTAGACATCATTTTTATGGTGTTATAACAAAGCTATAGGAAAGACTATAAAACTAGAGCCAATGCACATGCTCCGCTTGGAAATTCGGCACTCCGCTTCCTGATCGTGTTGTGTCAGTGAATCTCAAGTCGAGGGGGGGACTCTTTTAGCATTTCCGGGGTGCGAAAAACCGTGTTCTGTTATTGCAGGTAAAGCTTCACGTAATCTACGTTTGCTGAAGTGTCTTTTACGGTATCTGAATCTATTTGATGACTACAAAAAAAAATTTAAAACAAAATCTTTATGCAGGACAATTTTCAATATATCTTCCGAAGACGTCATCTTCGTGTCATCTCCACTGACGTTTGACTCCATTGTGGTCCAAATGTTTATGGCATTGTCGACTGGGGCCACCTTGCTGGTGACGTCGGAACATCTGAGACGGATTCCGGGACAAACGACAGCTCATGTTCTGACCAGGAATGGAGTCACCGTTCTTCAGGTAACTGGCCGTCGAACCATTCTTGGTGCGCTTTTTACCCTGAGATGGGAAACGATAAAAAAAAAAAAAAACGGACGAACACAACGAAATCTCAGTAATCTCTTGGTGCGCTTTTGTTAGTTTTGAAGACCCGGCAATCCTTGTATATACCAGTTCTAGCATTGGGCAACGACAGCTCGCAAACATTCTACCCGACGTCCTTGAGCTCTATCAATGTCCCGCTTTCGTACATAAAGACGGTTTTAAAGCGGAGTTCATCAAGGGCGCAGTTCGCTTTACATGGAACTCGAACCATTTCGAACCGGAAACTCGAGAAACTTGACGCTACCAAGATGGCCGCGTGCACTGTGTTACCACGCGTCCGAGCACTACCCTATATCGTCTGTTCCTTTTGTTCTTTCTCGCATGTCAAGGGAACTACCAGTTTCTTCGTTCGCCTGGGCGCTGCTCTCGTCAAGGATTCGCTACTCTCCAGGGACACGAGGCTGCGAGTCGTGGCGTTCGGAGGCGAAGACTGTCCCTCCGTGGCCATGCTGAAACGCTGGAGCGGCATCGGGAACGCGACGGAGTTCTACAACCTGTACGGCACGACCGAGGTGTCGTGTTGGTCCACGTGCCACAGGATCGACCTCGTGACGACCAGGTCGGTCAAAGGAACGCGCCGTTCTGTCCGTCCTACAAGGAAACAACAACGCCTCAGACAGTAGAGAGCTTTAGGGAACCGCTTTTGCACATTCGATACGGTATACGATGGGCACTCCGGTATACGAACTGCCTATGCGCTACAACATAAGACTCGCAAACGCGCAGTTTGTACCGTGGAGGGCCCATCGTAACCGTGCAAACACGGTTCCCTAAAGCTTTGCAGACCGTCTTTTTGTACGGTGTAGTCGCTGTCTGACTGCGCGGCTTTGGAGTTTCGATTGCCGTTCTTCGCCGAGTCTTTGCAGCGTCGAGATTGCTCAAATAGTCTGAGAGCAGCTGCGGCGATAACATTCACTATACAAACCGAGTTTTGGGGGAACCAAGTGCCCCCGAAACTCGGTTTGTAGTGAATGTCATTTCAGCTGCACGGTGGCAAATGACTGCGATTCATAGTGACTGTCATTTCATGGACATTCCATTAGTTTTGCAGTATGTTTTTAATTAAAGTTTAGTTAATGGTTTTTGTTTTATTTATGACTAGCACTTGTTAACGTACAAATTAGCTCGCTGCCTCGTGCGAAAACGGAAATGATTTGATGTAATGACGCAGCTGGGCAAGATCGAAGCGAGCTCATTTACGATATTAATGTCACGCTTGTATGTAATTACGTGTTATAATCGCGAGGAATAATGAAATAAAACTAATTCATTTCGGACACGATGTCAACTTGGGTTATAAAATGTTGTAATTAGAAGCTGTAATTAAACAAAAAAAAATAGTTCAGAAGGATTAGTACCCTGAAAACCTCTACTCAAATAATGTAAGCAAAGTTATTTAAAAAAGACTAATTTTCTATTTATGCTTTCCGGTGGAGAACATTCCTTTCCTTGGCAATGTGTTCCATTTTTCATGTGGCTTTTGCCTATAGTAAGGGGAATGAGAGATTAAGGAAAACACAGCGCTGAATCATTTTAGTTAGCTTTTTTTGTATTTGAATTAATTAAATATTTTGATGTAAGTGAGACGTACGTCACAGATCTTAATTGCATAAACACTACTTTACAGCTGGCAATTTGACGACAGTAAAAAGTGTTTTAATCTATTTATGCTTGTATTCTTTACAAAATTCATCAGTCCAGGGCATTTAGATATGTGCAAAACGCACCAGGCCAAGATATTTAAATGATTGCCCCAAAACTTATAAGGTAGATTAAACGACTTCATTAAAAGGTACTGTTCGTCCATTGCTAATACTATACGAATTCCAGCAACAACGGTACGTTTATAATTTGCACACGAAACAATAAACAACTAGGACAAAGTACAAAACATGACATCATTCATTTTAAAAGATGTCGCGTTCTGTGCATTGTCCTATTCTTTGCTGTTAATGTTTTTTTCTTTTTTTTTTTCTTTTTTTTTGTAAATTTAATTTTACCAGCACGCTCGTTTTTTTTTTTGTTTTTTTTTTTTAATATATTTCCAATATTTCATTTTCGTAAAACGTCAACAATCTTATCCGCCTCTGCATTAGAGCGATTAGCCGATTGATAAACTGATTATAGGTAACCGATGAACTGGTTAAAATTTTTCAATCGTTGCACATCCAGAATAGTGATAGGACACCGCAAAACTCTTTGCAATAAGAACCAGGTAAAAGCAGTTACCTTTCTTCCACGGATATTGCCTCTTCACTGAAATCTTGGGACGTACAGTAAGTGCCAATATATGTAATTTCTAGCATCACGCGTGAGTTCTGCACATCAAACTGTGTTCTTCGGTTATATTTCTCGTTAATCCGGACCAAGTTGGAGTTTTCCTCTGTAGTATGGAACTGTGTTAGTTCTACGAGCCAAGAGATGATTGAAAATGTTCAAAAGCGTTTCTTTCGAATTGTTTACGATCGTTACATTGGTCGTACTGTTTATTATTCTTACGCGAGACTCTTGGAACGATGCAAATGCCCTACTTGGAGTTCCAGACGGCGTGAGCGCGATCTTGTTTTCCTGTATAAATGTATTCATGGATTAATTGATTGCCCAGATCTCACATCTGCTATTAATATTCACGTTCCGAGTCGAGTTTTGCGGGTTTCTCCAACTTTTCATGTTAATCACATAATCCAAACCAGTCCCATGACCCGTATTCAACACTTCTACAATACCCTCAGGGGAGCAGATATTGATGTTTTTAACCCAAATTTCGTAGCTTTTAAGACTTTCGTAACTAACCTGTGAACATTTTGTTGTGCATCATTACCAAGGCGTCAAGCTGTTCATGAGCACAGAAAATAAACAAATGAATGAATGAATGAATGAATGAATGAACTGGCCCAGTTTACTTTAAAGGGATACGATGGCGGGTTAGGGTACTTCCGGCACGCTAAGTTTTGAAACCGACTACTTCTACAACAACAGGAAATGTGGTAGTCCGTTCTATTCCTTTATTTTAAAGAGCAATCGTGCATGGGGCTCCCCCCTTTATGCCGCCCCGCCTGAACGCCACGAGTGCAGCTCATATTGCCACACCCTGTATGTTTGACGAAGAAATACATATCGTACGCGCTGCTCGGTGTAACTACAACGAAGAGAGAAAATATTCCCTCTCTGTCTAAATTTTAAATAAGACATCGTAGCCCCGGGTAATATTCGGCAATGTAATTTTGTCAAGTTTATATTTGACAGTGTGTATGCTAGACTCGGATTATTGCGGCTGTCTAGGTTGATTAGTGGAAATCATGGTCCTGTGGCGGCACGGCCGAGATTCAGTTACCATCATTTCGCGCTAATGTAAAGTGATACCATTTCATTTACAGGGATGCCAAGTACGTTCCCCTTGGGGATCCCTTGGACGCAACGGTGTTGGAAGTGAGGAATGAGCTCGGAGAAGTCATTAGTGAAGGAGACGGTCTGCTCTTCATTGGTGAGGCGGTTTGCTACCATCTGCGTTTACGGTCCATCGTGTTAATGCACATTCCCAGCACCTAATACGCGGGCGAGAAGTGCCGAGCACTGGGTTGTGAATACGTTCACGGTGTCTGATACTTAGCGGGAGAGAGTTTGTGCGCTTGCTCGGAACACGTTTTACGAGCCAGTAGGTACGGATGACAGTGCGCAAAAAGGCGATTATTGGCATCCTAAACTTTCTTGGACATCCCGCTCTCGGTGGTTCTCTCGCAAATGCACGGAACTCAGAATTTCAAACTGAACAACAAACGTCGAAATTTTCCTCGGGAATATTTTAGACGACAATAATAAAATATCGTTAAGCATTAAACATTTGGATGCGTGTAGTTATCATTTCACAGTTCTACAAAGTTGTTTTGCATTGCACTAACAAAGTTATAACTGTTTTTTTTTTTTTTAAATTGTGATGTTTCTGAGGACTGCCTGGGTGTCATAGAACACAAATCAATTACAATTTCAATATTTCCTTGATAACTTTTTTTTTCATGAAATGTCCCAGAAAGTTGGCCATGAATGACGTATATAATCACCAACAGCAAAACATGGCCGACTATTTTCCACGCTTCTTGCATCGCGATTGGTTCTTCTGTTTTCTTATCGCCTGATGTGAAAATTTGACGCTGACGTTAGCTGATAATAATTCGTAGTATATGGAAGTGTGCTTTCAAAGATCTGGAGCCTCTGCCCTCCCGCAAAGCGCTTTGGGAAAGTCAATGGCTGCCGTCTACGGAGGAAGCTTGCAGACACCAGAGAGCGCTGTAGGACGAAAAGGGCTCTTACTGTATGAGAAGGGGTAGAGAGCATAGGATTGTAGAGAGGGTTCATCTATAACCGCGGGGAGCGTTTGCAATGTAATGGTGGACGCCGTCCTGCGGATACTGGTCGCAATTGCGCATGCGCCGCGTTTTCGCGTGGCGAGGAGGACAGCAGGCGGAAAGACAGAGACGTTTGCAGACAATCAATATCCGAACGAAAGACGGCTGCATGCACCGAGGCAATAAATGCTAACGCACATAAAAGTAACAGATGATGAATGATTTGAATACCTGCAACGGGTACCGCACAGCCATGATACTTTCACCCCCTCTTGCAGGCGGTCTCAACAAACAGTGCCTGGTGGGCAACGAGACGTGGGACCAAATTGGGCCGTCCTACCTCCGCAACTCGGGAGACCTCGTCCACGCGTCGGGCGGCGTCCTCACGTTCCTGGGTCGGAGGGACTCCAACTTCAAGTACAACAACCGCCTGGTTCACTGCGCCCTGCTGACCAAGACACTGTTGAGTTCGGGGCCCGTGGAGACCTGCCACGGCCACTACTCCAAACCCGAGAAGATGCTCTTCCTCTTCGTCACGCTGGCTCAAGACTGCGCACCTGAAGAGGCGATGCCGCCGCTGAGGTCGAGCATCGAGCAGCACTGCGAGTGTCCGTTCCAGATAGTCCCGGTACGCACGCTGCCGCTCAACTGCCACGGTGAGTTCGAGAGATGAGCGTGGCTTTGGTCGCTGACCGTAATGGGCTTCCAACTAGGATATCGTGTTCACGGTAAAAAAAAAAAAAAAATATTTCCCGCATTTTCTTTTTTGCTGGCAAAAAAAAAAAGAAAACTGGCATTTATTGGGGCTCATGTTTTCAGGCCAAACGCATTTCTAGATAGTTTGTTTTTTCTTGCAAACACACTTTACCTTATCAGTAGGTAAGATAACGGTATGAGGCAATAATACATCCTGTAGCTATACCGCCGCAGGCCAGCCAACGCTACAGCTTTGTTTCACGTAAAATCCAAGCGCGGTAGAAACCTACGCGGAGCACGAGTTCGTCTGCTTTTTTTTCAGGGTTTGCGATAATGTCAGAACGCCGAACTCTTATTGGCTGATAGAAAGGGGAAAAAAGTCAATCAAAGCCAATCGGAGCTCGGCGTCGTTCTGACACCACCGCAATTCCTGTGCTAGAAGCAGACGAAGCTTTCCCTCCGCCTCCCTATAGACAAACAAGACAAGACAACTAAGACCCCTTTCGAAAGTCCCGTGCCGATTATTAGACGGTCGGAACCCCTGCACAATGGCGGAACAACTGCATCGAGGAACGAGCAAGTCATTCCATAAGATAGCGAACGTCGGAGCGCGGCCAACACTACGAGTAGACCAGCCAATCAAAGAGCGTCGAAAGTGCAACGTCACTGCGCTCATCCCCTTTTTTGTGGGTGTGTTTTTTTTTTAGTGTGCCGTGACGTTGAGGTTTTAGTCCGCCATTGTGCAGGCATTTCGCAGTTGCCAACAAAGAGCCGTATTTCGAAAGGGGTCTATACCACACGGAGGGGGAAACACGGTCTACTAAAACTCGCTATTAGTGAGTTTTAGTAGACCGTGTTTCCACCCTCCGCTAAGCCCTTCCGCTACCCAGAACTCTACAGCCCAGGCCATCGGCGCGCAGGCGCAGTGGCGATTCCGCGCTCCGTTCTGCAAAGCGGCTGCACGAAAACGGTCTACTAAAACTCCCTAATGACTACAAACGGACGGCAAACGCAAAAGTCGTCGCGCTCGCTTTATGCTCGATTGGATGGGCCGGCAAACGATAACCCGCGGAAGGACAGTGATCACGTGATTACCGTGGCGTTGCGCTTTTTCGGCACTGCTCGATTGTTGCCCTCGGCTCGTGTATACTGTCCGCTGCGCTTGGACTAGAGCCGCGGGCACAGTGCTAATGCATCGTGCCATAGCCTCCTCTATACTCACAAAGCCTGGCAGTTCGACGACGGAGTCATAGAGTGCCCGGTCGCAGATTTGGAGCGCGAGGATCTGGTTGCACAGATCATCGAAGAGCCATTTCTCGGGGGACCTGGACGTCAGCGCACAGCTTTTGCAGCGGCGAGGACCCGAAACACACTTGCTCGCTCGGGAGGAGTGTGTTTTGGCGTCTCGCCGCAGCGGGGCGCCAGTCACGTGGCTCTCCTCTCATCCGTTGTGTGCCGCTCCACCTTTTCCATTTCGACGGCCGCTTCTCGTGGCGATCTGTCAAGCTTCGTCAGTATATAAGAGGCTATGATCGTGCAAAAACACAGTTTGCACACACTGTCCGGGGCGTGTTTGTTTGAATTCGCGTGTGACGGCACATCGGGTGCACAAACATACGTTCCGAGCACGGACATGTATAGGAACATGCACGGAGGCGGAGCTAATCCTGTCGTCATGCCTGCACACCGTGCCTTTTGTACGGTGTGGAACAAGGGAACTCCGGTTTCACTTTTTTTTTAAATGTTTGTCGCAGCTGGTGCACGTCGCAGTCGAAAGATTGGCAGCCCCTTTTTCAGAATGGGCAGTGGGTATTTTAAATTGTTGTCAAAATTTTTTTTTAAACAATTCTGCTAACTACTTCATATATGTTGACCTCTCGGAACGCGCCTTCATCGGGGTTTTGCCGAAACCGGTAAGAAACGTATTCTCCGCTTTGCGTACATCTTTTTTTTTTTTTTTATTATTATTATTCTGTTATGCACGTTAAGAGAAAAAAAATAAAGTGCGCTCTAACGATGCTTGTACACCTTATTCGTTTTAAAGTGAGCAGGCGCGGCTCATAGACGTCATTTAATCCAGAAAAAAAAAACCTGCACGCGAAAAAAAGGCAAAGCGCGTGTGCTTGAGGATACAGGCCAGGGTTTCATCCGGACCGGAATTGTTTTTATTATTATTACTCCTGGAGATTTTTTTTCGGTGTTTTTTGCATTTGACAACTTCAATATGCCACAGGATAGCGCGAAACAGCTTTCATTTATCTGAGATCTAATCACGGCTGTGGCCTATTTTGACGAAAAGACTATGAAGCTCTAATTCGAATGTGGCAACTGGGTTGTGTCATTTGAAATCGAGCGCGTGTTTCAAAATAAATATTCAAAGTCTACAAAAAGAAAACATGCATTTTGTAGCCCCATTCTCGTATTGAAGCAAAGCGGCATCCTTGAAACCCTTTAATATTTCCTCGTAATAATTTGAAGTGGAGCAAAGTGAACTATGACATTTTCGCTGACTGACTTTTGTATCCAGTTCGGTTGGTTCTTATCAATAGATAAAAGCGAAAACACTCACAAAATTCTTTATATATATATATCGTAATGGTCCCTGAAGAAAGCCCACCTAAAATCCATAGCAAATTGTATGAAAATGAAGGGTGGGCTAACTTTTGGTGTGCCATACAAGAAAGTTGAAAAAATGGTAGTTTTCGGTTTCGTGACCCTTGAAACTTGTGATCGCAGGAAGAGGCGATGAACCAGAGACGTCAGTCTTTGCCAGTCAGCAATGTTCGCTCATCTCCCGCCGTAGTTAAGTAGCACCGTTTTGGCCGAGGTCACCATGGGCCAGAGCACTGCAATCACTGGAAGTGAGCAACTCTCGGTGGTTCAGTATGCAAAATTTGTTTTCGCGTCTAAGCTACGCTCCATGAAAAACGCTGAGGGTGACGATAATCGTAGCCGTCCATTTTATAATTAACATACTTTTATTAATAAACGTTTTGAATCGAGTTGCCCGTTCCGGCGCGCGGGTTCGCTTTCAGGTGAAAGCACCCTGCTATCGACACGTCAGTCATCTTGCTTAAACGTTGGCAGTTATCTAAAGGGTTATGCAGAAAACTCAGCAAACATTTTCCCGTCCTCAAGCAATGGTAAAACACTCCGTCACAGAAAAAACAAACAAAAAAACTACAAACTCTCCTCCAATAAAATATGTTTTTTTGTTTTTTTGTTTGTTTTTTTTTAGCGCAAAAATAGACTATGCGTCGCCGGACGCTCATTTTCAGTCCAATTGCTAGAGGTTCAAACCAGATGAAATAACCGTTATCTTATTCAAACGTTATAAGTGAGTTTCTAAGATCTTCACGGGAAAATGGTGGCCAACGGAGGAGCTCTTGAATACATGGAGGTGAATGGCACCATGTTACCGAAAACGGGCAAGAACAGGCCCCGTTTTCTCATTAAAATTTTTAGAAAATTACTTTTAACTTTTTAATGAAACAACGGTTGGTTCTGAAACTTTGGCGTCTGCTTTGGATCGCTATCTAACGCCACATTTTGGCGGAGAATGAACGTTCAGCCATGCGTAGTTCATTTTTGCAGCAAAAAGCAAAAAAGACAACAACAAAAAAATAATAATTTATTTATTCTTAAGAAGAAAAGGGGGGGGGGGGGGGGTGCACATGCTGTATAGTATACCGTTTAAGCTTCCCCTTATACACCTTATCCAAAGCTTAGGAAGTGGCATTTTCGAATCTTGACGATCGCCAAATGCCCCCGTTCTTCACCAAGTACCAAAATGGTGGCGCACTGGAGGAAACCGAGACACAGAGCTCAATCGACGTCATTTATTTAGTGGCTCTGTAGTGACAGCTATTCGCGTCTCCGGCCCGTTACTCGCCCTCCCGCGGCCGAAATGGGAAGCGCTCTTCCGAGGGTCCCCCGGTTCTCCTGCTCAGCGGGTACAGCAGAACTGCAGGCGATCAGGCTCGCGAAATGTCATTTCCAAATGCCAACAACAATCTTCACTGTCCCAATGTAGTGCAGCAGCTGGTATGGGATTGTACCCTATTGGAGAGTATTAGTATTGCGTATAGAAGGAAACGCAAGCACTGTGCTTCTGCGTTAGAGTTGCGTGCTCCACGCTGCGCATGTGCGTAGTAGCCATGCTCCAATCCAAGACCGCAATTTTGGGCTCCGCTTACGCGCAATGTTGAACACGCAACGCTAAAGCAAACACACAGTGCTTGCGTTCGCGCGTATACGCAATACTGGAACTCACTACTGTTTCACCTGTTTCCAACACCAACGAAACGTTCTGCACTGGCAGACGTGCAAGCGGGTACCCGCTCCTTCAAAGTGGAAAGACTTTAAAAAAAATGTTAAATCCTTTTTTTTTTTTTCTTTTTTTTTTAGGGGGAGAGGGGGGGGGTAGCTTTGGGTGTGGAACGTTTGGAGGAGGCTTAGGTAGTTTTGCCGATTGTTAAAGGTCGCGACTTTGATAGCACCATAGACTTTATCCACAATTAATGCAATCTTACATGCACTTCTCAGATTATCAAGAATCTTTTCGTTGATTTTAGACTATCTTTATTTTATGACGTGTTAAATAAAATTGCCGCAAATGGCACCAGTGATGATAATTTGCACACTTTTGATTGCCATACTTTTTGGCGCGTTTGAAATTAGATCCTGAGCAACAAATTATAATACCAGCTTGAAAAACTATCTGTTAAAATATCTTATTTGTATTATTAATGAAAAAAATGGCGGTGTAAGCCCCCAATAAATGCCTAGATCAGAAAAACATTTAGATCCGTTTACAATTCCCTGCAACGCCGGAGGAGGATGGAAGGGTACTGAGAGATAGGATTGCAGGGTACTGAGGTTTAGGTTACTCCCTGAGGTCACGTGACCTCAGAGGGGGGGGGGGGGGGTGTCACGTGACCTCAGGGGGTGACCCTCTAGAGGGTAACCCTCGTGAGGGTGGTGGGTCAATGAGTAGCAGACGAGCTCTGCTACATCTATATTATTGTCTGTTAACAGGCAAGGTTGACGTACAAGCACTTCTTTACCAATCCAAGAAAGAGGGTTTGCTGGATTATGGCTTTGCGTATCGTCAGCACCTGTCCAAGCTGTGGAAGGTAAGCTTATCTCGTTGACATGGTGCTTTAAAAACAATTACTTATGTATCAGTTTCCAGGTGCTCAGCACGGGTCGGTGCATGAGGCACATCATGCTGAGTGTAGTCACCTAAAATATGAGACTCTAGCGCCAACGGAACCTGCAACGTGCACGATAATGATTTTATGCGTTGCGGACGGACTTTACCATGCAGAAGGAGCCAGTAGTGTGACCAGATGTGTTCCGGCTCATTTGACGTACTTTTCAGTGGGCGGGACGTGAAGAAAGAGAGTTCAAATGAGGACTTCATGCAGATGTCAGACTTTTTTCAGTGCCAATATTTCGACGAACCTTATACGAAAAGTATGTTTTTCAGATCAAAACAAAAACAAATTAGCACCAATAGTGAGGTCCGGAAGTTCTGATGGTCTGCGAAGCATTTAGCACAGAGAAACTGCCCAGGCGGGGATGAAATAATTGGCCTCCACAGCACATCGTTGTGAATCTCAGTCCACCTTCAACCACTGCCAGGAGCATACGGTCTCGCAGTTCTCTTCAAGTCCCATATGATTTGGATCGATGGAGCCAAGCTCGACAGTGCTCGGGAGGTCTGCAGTCGGCAAATGTTTGCAGCTACACATGGCTTGTATTGACGCCGCATCAGCCGTCATTGCTCTGTACCATGCTCCTGTGCCCGCACCTGCTGCAGCATGTATTTTGCACCTCGGCAAACCTTGCCGAGAAGACAAATTCAATGGTGCCAAATGTATGCTGCAGCAGGTACGGGCAGAGGAGCATGGTACAGAGCAATGGCGGCTGGTACGGTGCCACATGAGGTTCCGTGCAAGGCACATGTACAAGTAAGTTGTAGCCAGGTCCAGTGTGGTTATTAGTCGGTTTTGTACGAATATACAAAAGGACGGGAAGCAGTCGGTTGATGGGCAGATCGACCCCCAAGCTTCAACACCATCTCATGTGAAAGAATGGCAAGAGTTCAACCTCTTGGCAGGTTAACATTTAATTTAATTATATTATCGCCAAAGTTGCACAAGCGCATACTTGTACTGTGCCTTCGATGATTTTTAACATGTGCTACATGTAACATTGCGCACTCCCTCATCTGTGATTATACTGTCGAGACCGGTTAACGGGAATCGGAAAGCACTTCACTATATCTGATATTTCGTTATAACCGACTTCGGTTATAACGAAGTGCAAAAGGGAATGGGAAATCGTGATCGATTCGCTATAGCCGCTATTTCGTTCTAACCGGTCTCGACATTATATGTATAAATAACCATCATCGAGTTAGCTTTATTTTTTTCCTTTGCATATGGCCACAAGAGCTTAGAGCTAGTGTTGCATTGCCTATGTAGTTGTCTACATTTTTCCATGATGCTGCCCAAAACCTCTTGTATCCTACTTTCTGCATTAGGAGTGGTGCACACTCTATTACAATTGTGTTTTGAGGTTTCGCGATGTCATTGTGAATAGTTCGTAATTTCTGTAGCTACGTGAAAAGTATGTCTACGCATTCTTTGTACGATGGTTGTCATTATATGCTACGCGAACGAGCTGGAATGCTTGAACGTCGCTTTTTTGACGTATCAAATTGTTCGTGTTTTTCGGTGTGCCTTTCCAAATAAAACTTTAGGTAGTTGATCTGCGTGTTCAGTTAAGTGTCACTTCGCACGCTGCATTTGTATCCCTTCTAGTTCTAAGTAAATCACGCAGAACAATAAACAGTTCACTATGCGATGAAAGTCATCTTTGTGCTTGCAAATCACGGGGAGTTTTCAGGACGACCGAACGGAAAAGCCAAAATCCCATGGGGGCTGCCATTTTTTTTTTAAACGAAAACAAGAATACATAAAAAGAAAACATGCCTAGTTCCAACGTCTTAGATGAGAGGGCGCTATAACGTGATAAAATATTTAATCAAGAAAACCATGCTTTCGTTTTCTTATCTAAAAAGGTTTATAATTAGGATCCTTCAAATAATGTTATATTCTAATAATTGTATTAAATAAACTTTATTTAGAAAATAGCCTCACCACCAGATGTTTTAATTATCACATGCTTACTCTACAGTGGGCGAACTGTATATTATAAACTGTGAAGCAGACCTTGACCATATACTCAGTTGTTGTTGCTGTACGCATCACGGTGCAATCTACCATCCATTTGTTGCAAATTCTTTAATACATCATGTCAGCGCCATGATGTATTAATTTTTGTTTTATACTTGTTCCCTGAATGAGAACAAGTATAGGTGGAAAACAAACTGTAATAAACCTACACAGCGGTTCTCTGCTGATATGGTGTCTATCACTTTATCTAAGCAGCTTCGCGATTTATCAGACTTAACGTATGCCCCCTCTACTTTTCTCTTTTGTGTGGATCAAAGTTATTTAAAACAAGTAAAGTTTTGAAATGTGTACGTTTTTTCTTATGACGCAAAATATCGGCGCGATTGAAGCTAACCTTGTTCGGTGCCTTCCTTTCGTGTGTGTTTAGTACAATGCATAGCCTTTCGTGAACACGCAAAATTTTGCAAAACATTATCATCATTACCAAAGGCACAAAAAGCTATTTGTCATGGGCGTCATCACCCCTAGTACGCCACTGATACCATTGTGATTTTATTTTTGTGTATGCTTTTACACAGAAATGGGCCCCACAAAACGGCAGCGAGGACAGCATCATCGGCAAGTCGCGTTTTCTTCTCAGCGGCGGCACGATGCGCGGCATCGAAGCCCTCTGCCAGGACATGGAGTTCGCGACCAACTGCTCGCTGCCACTCCTGGCCCACAAGGTCCTCGGCGGTACATTCGAGGACGTCGCCGCCTACGTGGACAAGGCGATCAGACGAGCACCGGAGGTCATCGGTTGACCCTTCCCCTCAGTAAAAAAAAAATCTGATACTTTTAATCAAAATGTGTGGAATTTGCGCAAAGACTGCGCGAAAAGCTTATTTCAATACACACCGGGAAATTAGTACCTTATGCGTCGCTACGCTGCCGCGTTGTTACAGCCACCTTGCACAAATTTTAACTCTTTTCGGTCATGTGTCACATCGGAGAAACGCGCTTCCGGTAAGGAGTCGGGCATCGCCCGGCACGCGTTCCCGCGTCCTTTTAAACGTGCTCCTTCCCTCTTTTTTCGCTGGATTGGTGGCGCCATCTCTTGAAAAGTTCTTTTAACACTTTAATTACTTCACTCTTGAAATGGTTCGAGTTTTCTTTTATAGAGGGCAGAACTAATCCTAAATAAGCTGGAGCGCGCAAATTTCAACCTCGCTGGCACGAGGGATGGCCGCATTCCAGCCACGCTTGGTTTGTGGTAACTCTTCGTGTGACGACGATTTCCGTTGTAGAGGACAACTATATCTCTTCGTCAGGTGATGAAGAGACGTCCTCTGCTGGCTTGGGGGAAAGTAGTGATGAGGATGAAACAACTGCGCAAGACAGCGGCCGCGGAGCCGCTCCGCCAAAAGCGTCGTCCTGAAGTTTGTACACAAAAAATCTCCCGGACGTTTCTGTACTTACGTTCAGTGCGAGTGATCCCGGATCAGAAATTGGGCCCTCGAATCTTCAATCTGAACTCCCGCTGGTTCAATTATTTCCTACGGATCCACAGATTGGGGAAATCACTCACGAAACGAACCGTTATGCAAACATTTTCATTTGGAAAAGCTGGGAGGACGTCACTGTGGATGAGTTCAAGGTATTTCTCAGAGTCCTCATGAACATGGCTTTGAATTTCGATCCAGATATCCAAGAGTACTTCAGCAAAAAAATTCTAAAAAAGATGCCGTTTTTTTTTTTTTTTTTTTTTTTTTTTCGATCTGTGTTCACCCGAACAAGATTTATGCAGATTTTCTGGATGCTGCCCGTTTCCCCTTTTAAGCAACGTCCACCGGGACAGCCGACACGCGGCAGCTAAGCGAGAAACGTTGTGAGCTACATTGATTCAAAGTGCAGGGAGCATTTCAAGCCCGGTCTGAAGATTTGCGTAGATGAGAGCACCGTTGGCTTCAAGGGGCACTTCAAGGGGCGAGTCTCTTTCAACTACTACAACCCACAGAAGACAACCAAGTGGGGTCTTTGGGTGTACGTACTCGTGGACTCTGCAACTCGATATGTTTCGGCACTCGAGCCATACTGCGACAGCACTACTACGGAGAGCCTCGCCCCGGCCAGACCTCTCTTTCACTTGCCGAAACGTCCTTCACCTCCTCGACAAAGTGCAGTGCGCTTCGCCGGGAAGGGGGTACCACCTTACACAGATGCGAATTATACGTCGCCAACACTCGCCGAGGTTTTGCTTTTGCAGGGCGTCAAGCTGAACGGGACTGTAATGACCAACACAAAAAAAAAAAAAAAATGAAAGACGTTTAAAATTCTTTGTAATGCCGAATTTGAGCGCAGCTCTTGAGGAAGAGGGGAAAGTCTCGTGTGACGTCACAAAGGTAAACTTTTCCCGCTAAATTTGGCGGGAAATTTTTCCAATAAATTTAGCGGGAAAAGTTTTCCGCTATATTTAGCGGGAAACGTTTACGCTCGAGACGTCAGGTCAGACATGACGTCACGAGGGTAACATTTTTCCGCTGAATTTAGCGTAAAAATTTACCGTTAAATTTAGCGGAAAAATGTTGCCCTCGTGACGTCATTGTAGGAAACGTCCCATAATGCAACGCGCGGTCGCGGCGACGACGACAGCGTCATCGCTCAAGTCGGAAACGGGCACCTAAGAGCTGCGCTCTAAAAGTATGCAAGAGCAGTTGAGAGATGAAGGTACACACGGCGGACCGGGCCGCGGAAATATTGATCACGTGATGCGCGGCCCGCGGGCCGCCCGGCTGCAGTGAGCATCCACACGGCGGACCTAAAGAGCAGACGACAGAGTGAACGGGCCGGTCTAACCCTTGACCTCACAGCTCCGCCAAACGCATGCAGCGAGCTGCTTTGAGGCTATTTGTAAGGAGCCAAGATGGAGGTTGAACGAAAGAGACGTTTGGCCACGGTGGCCCTGGCGTTGACTATTGAGAACGAGGAAAACTTAAGTGAACCGAAAAGGGCATGCATCTATTGTCCCACAAAGCGGGGAATTGCTCCACCAGCGCGATGAAGT